ACGTTCACTTCACAGCTGGCTTTTATCCTCTTGAAGGAGGGGCCATTACCTTGCACCTTTACTCCTGAGTTGTCCGTGCTGTTGCAGCTGCTTTTTCCTGTGAGCAACCCGGTGTGCACGAGTACTTAGCACAGGCTCCTCAGGAACCTCCTCATCACTGCTGCCAGCCCCACAATCTCTGAAGGCAGCAGTCCACTCCCTCATGGTCCTGGCCCCTCATCTGAGTCCTCGCTCGCCTCAGCCGTCTGCATCTGCTGCCGGCTAACCACAACAAATATCTCCTTTAAGATGGCAGTTATAGGCGTCCTTAATTTTAATGCCCAGAAAGTTCTGATTTTGCTTCTATGGTGCAATGTTACATGCGTGCAGATTTCAACTGCAGAAGATAAATGACAACCAGCTCCCATCAATGAAAACGTCTCCTTTCTTATTGCGGCTCTGTTTCTTTTCGTACAAAGCCCTAATCTCGCATCACATGAACAAAAATAAACAGCTCAGCCTGTCATCTTACTGAATGCATCCTCTCAGCAAATTGCTGCTTGTCAGAGTTTCACTCAGCTAAAAAAATAAAAAAGCAAAAAAGCAAGGAGCCAATTCCCCTCCTGTCAAAAAGAACAAAGACTAGAAGGCAATTTTCAGAAGTCCAGAGAGGAAACACAGAATCAAAGCAACTGATTATCATGCTTACCTTTAAAGGACCAGCCTTTAAATGTTTTGCCCCAACCAGCTCAGCTTTCACTTTCCTGGTTGGGGGAGGGAGAGTTTTTTTTTTTTAAAGGGCTCCAAAATGTGGGCAGATTTTCAACCCTACAGCTTCAGAGTTGGAGCTACCAATGTCCCTCAGCTGGGTTTAAGCTGGTCTCTCCACCCAACCTTATTTACAAGATTGCTGTGTTGATAAAGGGAGTGAATGCCATTATTTATGCCTTTAAAACGATACATTGTAGTTATTGTAACTGCTTTGAAAATAACAGACCCAGATTTATCTTGACTCATGATTAAACCATTTTTAACAGGCCTGGTAGATTAAAACTGCTACTGTTCCTATCAACCCAGGTTGGAAAACTAGCAAAGATAAATGCAATGTGAAGTACGTTATCTTTTAATGTGGTCACACTTATTTCATCCTTGGTGCTCTCCGAGCTCACTTGTTTTCTTGTAGACGTTTCATTACTCTAACTAGGTAACGTCATGTTAGAAAACGAGCAAGCTCAGAGAGCACCAAAGACCCCCTCATTTCAACCCTGAGCTACAAATATTCTGCTTTATTGGTGCCACATATTTCAACCTTTATGATGTATTCAGCAGCAGTTACTAAATCAATTTTTAGGCTATGAATTAAGTTCACAATGACTGAAATGGAAATATCCAGATGGCACTCCACCACCACCATCAAGAGACGGCCAATTCTAATCCTTGGCCCTATGAAAGATTAGACTGTGGTTAGATTTGTAGAATAAACTATGGTTTATAATAAGAACAGACCATCTGTGGCTGGGCTGGGCCAACAGGCTAAGCCACAAAGCACTGGTTGTAAATCTCCGTGGCAAAGTTCACACAATGCCTCAACACCAAACAAACTATGTTTTAAGTACATGGCAGATTTTAAATTTTTAAACAAAGATCCATCTTTAGATATGTGTCATACATGTCTTCTCCTTGCACAGCTGCCTGTGAGACTTTCAACACTCACACAGTTGTAGCAAAGTTCACAAGGCCAAGCCCACTTCACTGATCCTGATCAGTGAAGGCAGGATTTAAAAGCTGCAGGCAGCCCAGAATTTCCGTACAGCAATGCAGCCTGGGGAAAGAAGTATACAAACGTTACTGATTACACCACCCACACCACATCCAATATTTACAACACAAAGGTAAAGAAATAGACTGGATACATTCAAAATGCAGGTTGCTCTTGTTCCAGCAGAAGAAAACGAAACGCTTGGAAACAAGCAGGAGGTAGTTTGAAGGAATCCTTAAAGAAAGATAGGTTGGGTCCCAATTTCTAACCCTCAACACCAATATTCCTTTGCATCTTTCCAATTACTTACTGGTACTTGCTTGGTGGTTATTTTTCAGATTAACACAATCCACTACCCACGTAAAGTGACTGCCACCCCTTTAGTTTTCATATTCCCTACAAAAAAGGGGGAACAGTTGGCTGTTCCCTAAGGACTGATCAATATTCAAGAAAAGATTGGACAGCCATTTGACCCAAATGGTATAGGCCAGGCTCTCCTGCTCGAGTTGGGGGGTTGGGCTAGAAGACCTCCAAGGTCCCTTCCAACTCTGTTATTGCTTTTAGACTAGTCCAGGCAAAGCCAGACGCTGCGATGTTTGTGGTCTGTCTATACCAAGCTATCTATCTATCTATCTATCTATCTATCTATCTATCTATCTATCTATCTATCT